CATTATCTGACGTGCGGCAGGGATCCACGCACCGTAGCCGACCTGGCATGCGAGCTCCGTCCTGACGGCACAGCACAGCAGCAGGATTATGATATCAGAAAGCCTGGCAAAGGGGGGTGGGGGAGGGACAGCACTCCTGAGATCATGGCAGCTGACGTTTCCCCACGCTAATCACTGGAATTGAAATACAGGCACTTTCCTATTTGTATACGGCACGATCTGGAGGCAGGTGGAACAGAAAAAGAAATGGCAGGGAGGGAAAGGAAGCAGGGCAAACGCTCATCTACAAAAACGTGAAGTGGATGAATAAGCTTCCCTTCCACGAGGTGGAGTGCCGAATGAACACATTATAGGCCGATAGATGGATTATCGCTTCCTCTTGACTGTGCCTCGATGGTTGTGTACCTTATTACCGCTCCGCAAATAAGATTCTGCTGCATCTTAGTCAAGTGGAAAATGAAAATTATCGGAGGAGGAACCAGTGTCCCGAAGAAGGGCTGTACTACACATTATTGCTGGGTGAGTCGGGGATTGATGGTACGACAGCTTTTCCCCGGTACCCAGCTCTGTGTCTGACACAGACCCTCCTCCTCACCAGAAGCGACACTCCTGTGACAGTCAGAGGGAATTCAGGTGCCTCTCCAGAGTGCCTGCACCGTCAGAGTGTGACAAAGAGTCTCCGTGGAGATGCTAAGCACTGATGCGTGCAATTTTGCTCGCGGTAATCAGAAACAATCGTGCTGGGGCCGTTGGAGACTCGTGACTCCGCCTTCCTGCCTGCTCCTGATTGGATCCTGCTTATGATGAGGTCCCATACTCCCTTGCTTTTGGGACATTTTGAGGAAGTCAGACTTTGATGACACATAGCTTTGAGTCCCATAGAAGTTGCAGCTGCTTTCTGCACTTTCTTGTTGCATCTTAAGGCAGTGATCTGCCACGGCAGGTAAACAAAGACTGTTCTTGGAGACGCACTGACTGTTTCCTGGCTCGTGAATCCTGGTTCCCAGATTGCCATGTTTATACTGGCATATATAATGCTTTGCATAAGCATTCACCCCCTTGGACTATTGCATATTTACAACCTGGAATAAACATGTATTTAAATGGGATTTTAAATTACGGTTCTACACAAAATAGTCCATCATGTCAAATTGAAAAAAATATCTATATAGTTTTCAAAATTGAAAATCAGAGAAACTTCTCAATAAACTCTGGTGTAAATAATAGATTTCAGAAGACACAGGGTTAGTTGAATGGAGTAACCTGTATTATATATAAAGAGAATGTTAGAGATCACATCTAAACAAACAACATCATAAACATCACCAAGAGCTATCAGAAAAGGTCTTGAGAACCATCAGTCAGGGTTGGGTTATAAAAAAAATCCCAAACTTGGACAATTTCCCAGACCACCATTAAATCCATTATTAAAATAGAAAGAGTATGGCAGAAATACAACTCTGCTTTGAAAGGGCTGTCCACCAAACCTGGTAAGTAGGCCATTAATCAGGAAATCAACCAAGTGGCCAGAAGAAACCCTGAAGGAGTTGGTGAGAGTTGCACTGGAGTGGTTAAGAACCAGGAAGCTGAATGTCCTGGAATGACCCAGCCAAAGCCTAGACCTCAGTCCATTTCAGAGCCTATGGCAAGACTTGAAAATGGCTGTCCCCATCCAACCTGACCATGAGCCATTTTGCCAAGAAGAATGGGCAGAAATTGCAGTACTCAGACGTGAATAGCTGGGAGAAACGTACCCTAGAAAACTTTGTAACTGCAACCGAAGGTGGTTCTACCAAGTCCTGAATCCAGGGAGTGAATATTTATGCAACCAACAAATGTCTGCTTTTTTTTGTTTAACTTTCATGTCACATTAAAAATATTTAGCACCTTCAGATTGTTAAGTATGTTATATAAATAAAATGGTTAAAATCCCATCGTGGTTTCTGGTTGTAACACAATAAATTTGAAAACATCCAGGAGGATAAATACTTAAGCAAGGCATTGTATTTGGTGATTGGCTATGCATGTTCATAAAATTTGGTCTAATTGGATTATTTCAGGCATTCTTGTGGAAAACACTGAGGTGAACAGATAGCTTCAGGGGATGTGAAATTGTAAGAGCCAAAGGTCTTGCCCACAATGGTAACTTAAGTTAGCCGGTAATAAGTGATAGATAAAGTCACACAAGATCTCAGTCAAGCAATTTATTCCCCAGACTGTGACAGGTGGACCAAAAACAGAGCAGCTGCCTTGTCCAAATAAGGTTGTAAATGCATGAAGATTATTCATGCTGCCCTCGAGATTTGAAGTAAGGTGTATGACGATCTGCCTAATCATGCCCATGCAAGGGCTTGCATTTTTTTTTTTAAAGTAAAGGTATTCTTGATGATCCTTAAGGATGGAATCGCACAGTAAGATAGGAGAGGAGGAGTGCAACACGATCTCTCCCTCCTTCGCCCTCCGCTGAACTAATGAATCATTTGCTTGAGATCAATGGTGTCTGGCTGACTGAAAAGACTCATGCTGAGAATGTAAATAAGCTGTACAATGTTCATATTGACAAAGCGTCCACATTGAGCAGAGAGATAAATTGAAAAAAGAATTTGTTCTTTTACGGAAAAGTCATGTATGTACGTTCCCTGTCACCATCAGACAGCCACTGTCAAGAAGCAAAATTGCCTGAGGATCTGGTAGAGGATCTGGAAGTTTCTGGCAATCACTTTACAAGGCTCTAATTACATTGAAAAAAAAAAAAAGATCAATGAATTGTGATCCATTTTCTATTTTACTGGAAGATTCTACCACCAACAACAACAACGAAATAATAACACTTCAGAAATGTGTCTGTTATATCTTCAATTTTATTTTATAAAAAAACCTTTTAGAGTTTATATTAAGGAAGATAGCATTGCTTAAAATGAATATAAACAACAGCATGACCACGTTTTTCTTTTTGTTGTTGTTGTCAAAGCTCAAACAACAGTGCGAAGACTTCCGGCACCAGGCCCTATTAATCACAAGCAAAACAATGTCAACACGGCTGCCAGGCCGGGACACTCAAAAGAACCACGGGAGGATGTCTGTATTTCCAAACTCCAGGATCAGCTTTCAGACTGCTTAGTACATAATGCTCAGTTATACTCTTTATAATGATTTCTCAGTTCTGAGGTCTTTTGCTCCTGCCAGTATTCACAATGGCTGGAATTGATGGCCCGGAAATAGCATGCATCCAGAGTTAGGGGTTCGACTCCCACATCTGCTCTGTGTGGTTGGAGTTTGTATGATCTCCCCGTTCATCCTCCAAATTGTCCTTAAACTGCCTGTAGTATATGACTGTGTGTGCCCTGCAATGGACTGGCACCCCATCTATGATGTCGCCCAACCTTGTGCCCTATGCTGCCTGGGATAGGTTCCAGGCAAGCCCCCCCCCCTCCCCGACCAGGGCAAACAGGTACACCATGTTCTGATGAAGCATGACATGTACTCACTTTAAAAATCAGACATCCCTTCAGTACCTGTTTTCAGTGGCACAGAAAAACACATCATATAGCTTTTCACATTATATTATTGTCAAAGGCTATGGAAAACATAAGTAAATCTCACCAAGAAGATGAAGCATTCTTAATGTAACTAAAGTTTATTTAAGACACATTCAGCTGATATTGAAATTCTCAGAAGTACAGGGACTACAGTACAATCTCTTCAAAAAGAAAAATGGGTAAAAATTTGTACCTTTTCTTGTCACTGGGGGTACTTCCTTGTAATTGTACCTTTTAAGGTACAGAAATGGATTCTGAGGAACAATATATTCCTTCAGACTTTTCCCTGGAGGACAAACAACATTCATGTAACCCCCATATGGTACAAAAATGTTCCTCTGAGTCAATTTTTGTACCTTAAAAGGTACAACTACCTACAGTACATCTATGGGTAGAATTGACAGACCCTTGAGGGTACAGTCCCAGTGACAAGCAAAGGTACAAATTTTTGCTGTTTTTTCTGAGTGTAGGGGCTAATGCTGGACAAAAGCACGCTGTTAAAGGATCCAAGCAGGTCCGATTGGGTCACTTGTGCCATCACACACATATCCCCCCACGCCCCCCCCAAGGCTAATCGCATATGAGCTCGGCTCCTAAAATATATTCCTTCAGACTTTTCCCGGGAGGACCTCTGAGTATGTGAGATTCTGAGTTCAGACAGGCTGCAGTAAGGCAATCTGACTCGGGGGAGCCTGGGTGGCTGGTGGAGTCCTGGTCAGGACCTTATTTGTCCAGAACTGGAAGCAAGGAGGTGGCAGCTGAAGACATTGCTGAGGTGCAGGGGCAGGAGCGTTCGCAGACGGAGCAGCACAGGAAGCCAGCCGGCCCCTGAAGCAGACCTTCCTCCAGGGCGGTGTACCATCATCACTGTCTCAGCTGCAGGTATTTCCACCAATACTCAAATATAAATATCATACGTTGAGGAGTAAACATCAAGATCAAATTTGAGTTAGAGTATGATTACTCTATTTTTCGAAATATTGCTGTTGGGCTTGTGGAACTGATTTTGTTTTACTTATTTATTTGGGTAAATCCAGCCTATTTAGCAGATACCGTAAGATATTTAATTAGCTTGAATCCTCTGCATTTCCTATTTTCCCCTCGTCCTTTGATGTTAACAGACTCTGCGATGGCAGACTTTAAGACTTTCTTTGTTCAACTATTATTATGAGATGAAATCTGCTGTTTTAGAGCCATTCGTTGTGTTTGCGTGGTTACAGGCTGAGTATGGAGAGGCCTACTTGATTGTGCTCTTGAGGATGTCCTCTGATTGGTATGGCTCAAGAACAGGAGAATATTATTTTGTAATCGCTGCAATATAGTGACAGCATTTAATTAATGTTTATCGGGAATAATTCAAAGTATATCGTAGACCCACAGTCCTTTCCGTGGTTGATGCTGGATTGAATGTATGCTGTAGTTCTCATTATGACTGAGCCACACTTTAATTGTTCATTATAATATGCAAAAGCTAAATTCACCTAAAATGTAATGGCCTCCAAAAATAGCACTTAAATGATAAGATGCAGAAGGGAAATGTAATGAAACAAACACTGCAAGCTGAAGACCATTTGATCCTCCAGATCATTACCCCACCATCTGGTCAGTTACCTCCCATCCTTAGGAATAACAGACCTTTGTCACCAGTATGGAAACAAAGTTCCTCCAGACTTCCAGAGGAAGCGTGGAGCACCACTCGGAGGTCCAGATGTCCTCCTCTTCTACGTCTGTCACCACAAGCAGCACCAAACTGCGCAAAGTCTCTCAGACTTCCAAGGTTTTCGATGGTAAGGTTTATAAATCAGGTGGCAATGGCTGCCCTGGCTAAGGGGTCCTGAGCGGGTGCTCGCAGAGAGCAGAGGTCCAGAAAGTACAAGTCCAGACCAAGATTTTGTTTCAACCAACCAGCTGAGTACTCTGAGACTGTGATTCTTTGTGCACAACTGGTTGGTTGAAACAAAATCTTGGCCTAGATCTGTACTTTCTGGACCAGAACTTTCTACCTCTGGCTGGGGCTGCCTCCTTGGGGTGCTGCTTTTATAACATTCTCCTTTATCCCATGTTCAGCTTTACTGTTATATTTAAAATAAACTTGGATATGAGTGTAATAACGATAAGATTATGACTGCAGTGTTGTAAAAAGTCAGGTCAATCCGTGTAAGCCCTGAGCAAACAATGGCAACTGTTCAAATAACTTTAAAAGAAATTGTGTATTTTACGCACATATTCAAGATTATGGTTCATATCAAAGGATTTAGATGAGGGAAAAGCCTCTTCTCAGTGTGTGTGTGTGTGTGTGTGTGTGTGTGTGTGTTTGCGTTCTTACAGAACAGTGTGGGCAGCGAAAGATCTCAACTGTGGTGGAGTCATTCAGCCAGGTCCAGAAGTCCTTCGAGATCCCAGCAGGAGAGTCTGTCCCAGATTTTGAGGAGAAGCCCCGCCCCATTACGGCACAGGAGGGTGTGTCCCCGCCCTGATATTCTGTACCATCTCAGTATCCTGGCCAACTCTGTCAGTTTCTCTAAGCAACTCTATGAAACAAGTGTCACAGATTATTTATGGATGTCAACTATAATGGCTGTGATACACCTGTCGGCGATGATACCCAGGAACACAAAGTAAAAGTGCTTGCGAATAAATGGTTAACAAACAACCAACCTAACTTGTCATGAACAATCATGCTGCACTGAAGTCTGTTGTCATGTTTTGCATGTAAACGTCTTGATGGGCAGACCTTGACCTGAGATTGAACCTCAGCATCACACACTGCAAATAAGCTTGCTATCCCTTGGCTAAATAATTCACATTGTGCTTCAGACAGGATTCCGATGTCCCCTGAGGCTGCCTGTAGGCAAACGTGTCACTGTGTAATCAGACATTCACGGGAGAGACTCGAGCCGAGGAGGGGCTGATGAACTGAAGCGATCTGCTTTCCCCTCGACAGCTTGAGCGAAAGTAAATATGGCGCCTCATTCTCGCAGGGGACAAGGCCTCCTTTAAGGTGAAGGTGACGGGGAATCCCAAGCCCATTGTGACGTGGAAGAGAGAAAGTGGTAAACCCCTGACTGAAGGGGTCATGACCTACTATGACAACATCAACAAGCTGTATGTTCTGAAGGTATCAACTCTACGTATTTGATGCTCTGAGATGGAACTAGAAGTGTAGCATGAGAGATTAAGCTTTCCATCTACATGCACAAAACCAAGGGAAACTAACCCAGTAAGTAGTGGGCTTTTTCTAGCCTCTGTTCTGAGAATCATTCTCTGATCTGGTGACATCTAGATGCAGAGAGAGTCAAAGCAGAAACGTGAGCTGTAATTGAATTTGCACCCGGCATTGAACGACGTACGGGACCTCATTAGCCACAGGCTCCTGTGCCTCTCGGCTGTCAGCTCTGACGGGAAGCCATGCGTCTTGTGAAAAAGGGAGCAGAAAAACACACTTGAATCCTTTTAGTCTTTCAGGGGAGATTTAGTGCTGCCTCCCACTCTGCCAGGAAACCTTTAATCAAGCTTATGTTGCCATTATTAAGCAATTAACAAGTGGGTGCTGACATATGTATCTCTGAGTGCCATCTGTTTCATGGGTGAAAAGTGCTTGTTTAGGTAAAGTGCAAACTGTCTCCTGAGTATAATAGAGACATCTACTGTTTGTTTATAGTATTGCTGGGAAATCAGGTCAGTCTACTCACTCCCTCTCACTGCTTTTTAAAGCCATGTTTTAAAGCCTCTTAATTAGCTTTTCCCTCCCACTCCTCCCTCCCACACAGATTAAATCTCTAACCATGGAAGATGCAGATGTCTACAAGTGCATTGTCTCCAATGATCATGGAGAGGCTGTCTACTCCATGTCACTCATTGTGACGGAAAGTATGTCGTCTACATTTACGTTTCCCTGTGTTCATAAACTGATTACTGATTTGTCCAAGTTTTGCTATTAATATTTTGAATATCTGATTTGTCTCCAAGATCCGGCGATGGATTTCAAGAAGATGCTGAAGAAACGGTACACCTGTGTTCCCCAACGTCGGTGCTATCGTTACTGTGTTGAAAGCATAGAGCTGTACTACTTTTCCCCTTTCTGTACCTCCTAGCCTCCGCATCGCCACAATTTCCTGCAGTCCTCTGCTACCACACCCATCTCCTACAGTCATTCTTCCATTCGCACTAAGCAATGATGGCCAAAAGGATGCTTTTTTTTTTTTACCCCACCAGATGGTGCTCTCTGTTCAAAAAATAGCTTTAATGCTTGCCCCAAAGAAAACCAAGAGCACCATCTAGTGGGGTCAAAAAATACTGCAAATGGTTCATGAGGCATAGTTTTGCCTATACCAAGCACTAAACTCTAGTCCCTTCTCTCCCAACACCAGCTCATCCTTCCAACTCTACCTAATCCACTAACACCATCCACCCAGGGCAGCTAAAGTGCTCCAGAGTCCAGTTACCCTATGCTATGTCTTCTGCCCTATTCTATTACAAAGACTTGGGACTTGTTTCATCTAAGGTGTCACTGTTTATTTCCATAATACTACATATTTTAAATGACATTCTAACATTCTCTACAGCATTTTCAAATGATTTTATCCAGTGTTGAAATAAATACAGGCAGAAACTAGCAAAGTTTTGTCGTCCAGATGTTTTTGTGTGTACAGTGTTCAGCTAGTTTAGTTGCCCTGTTAAATCTCATGTCCAGGAGCACACCAGCTCCCAAGGAGGAGAAGAAGCCAATCACAGAGGAAGAGATGTTGAAGATTTTATCTGGGGCAGACAAGAAGGACTATGAGCGCATCTGTGCTGAGCACGGCTTCACCGACTTCAGAGGAATTCTGAAGAAGCTCAAGGAGATGAAAAAGAAGGGAGATGAAGAGGTCTTGGTGTCTAATATTATTGCTTTAAGGCATTTCGCTGTTACATGAAACATTCCCTAGCATTCCCTGCAGACTGACTTTATCCAGTTAGACTTTACATTGACTGCACCTTCATAATGCCTTTATAATGATTGTATGATTATAATTACATGACACATTATATGGTAATAACAAATATTATTATTGCATATAATAATGTATATTAAAGCTGTATATGTTGGGATGTTAAGGTATACTTGCAAGGTGCTTATGAATGTTCTGTGAATGCATCATAAATTCATTGTGAAGGTCCACTGAATGATGAATTCATTATGAAGGTGCAAGGTCTTTGTAGCAGGGTCTGATCTGCCGGACAGTGTGGGTCATCGTTTCTCTGTTCCACAGACGGTGAAGGTCCTGAAACCCTTGGAAGATATTACAGCCAAGGCAGATTCCAATGTGGTTTTTGAGACCATTCTGGGACTGAAAGACCCTAACATCAAAATGCTGTGGTTCAAGGTATAGTTCCAAACACCAGGTACTAAACAAGGCAGAAGGTCTGTGTAGCAGACATGCTTGTGACCTATATACATGCCTGTTTTTCCTTTCAGGACACAGAGCTGCTACGGATCCAGTACTCCTTGGGGAAGTATGAGCTGAAACAGATGGGCACTAAGTTCATGCTGTGTATCTCCAGCGTTAGCCTGAAGGACTCTGGCAGCTACTCACTGAAGGTTGGAGAGAAGACCCTCTCTGCAAGGCTCAATGTCATAGGCAAGTTTGCCAGCAGTCGCATGGCAGTGTCTCACCTGCAGGGCCTTCCACGTGCTGCATGCTTGCATGCTCATTGAAGCATGAACCCACACATACTCTAATGTCTTACTGGGGTGCTTTTATGCATTTCAACATGCAGGGGCTTAAGAACCAGGAAGGACATGGGGTTCGTGCTCCCCTAGTATTTAACTTGGCTTCATTCATCCCCCTTGAAAATAGACCATTGTATTTAAGTGATTAATTTATGCCACCGCAATATCAAACTCTCCTCTATACTGTTATTTACATGGGTTTGCCATATGATATATTTTCCTACTTCAAAATATACACACATTCCAAAATTTGCTATATTCTACGATGTCTACTTATTAACTCAGTGACCATATGTTTTTTAGATGCACACCAGCACTGAGTTATTCAATTTTGGCCTATTTCATTCACCCCAAGCCCCTAGAAGGTTTTATTCCACTGAACAGAATAAATCTTCCAGGATTTATTAGGTGGCATGTGGCTGAGATGCCTGCGAGATGTTCTTCAGCAGAGGTGAAGGTCATGTCGCTGTGTTTAGTCCTCTCGTGTCTCTCTGATTGATCTGCAATGTTAAAAAAAAAAGCGCACCTCCTGGGGAGTAATTAGAAGGAGCACATGTAAGCTGCCCTCGCCGTTTTCATTTCCTCTCCTCCCTGGCTGCTAATCTCTCAGATGAACCTCTGAAGTTCACGTCGGACCTGAAGCCCGTGCGTGTGACCGAGCGGCAGACGGCCATCTTCGAGGTGCGTCTGTCCAAGAAGACCAACAAGCCGCCCGTGTGGAAGTTTGGTGGGAAGGAGCTGAAGCGTGATGAGAAATTCGACGTGGTCGTGTCTGAAGACGGGCTCACCCACACGCTGAAGATCAAGGACGTGAGGCCAAGCGAGACGGGCGACTACACCTTGAGCCTGGGCGACCTGACCAGCACGTCCCCTCTCTTCATCGACAGTAAGCGGAGCTGCAATACAAAAGGCTCAGATTCTTACTCCCAGAAGATACACAGTAATGAACCCTTTGGGCTGTAAATCTTCCGGTTCCAATAGCACTCTTTGTTTCCCTTGATTCTCTTCTCACTACACCTGACAGGTCTTGTTCAGTAGCATCTTGTAAAGAGTCTGATCACAATATAAGATAATGTTCAAAAGAAACTTGAATAGGAGAGGCTCCTAATTTCAAGATATTAAGTAACACCTGTAGAGTAGGCACATAATTACGTGGTTTGGTTTCAGGCATCCAATCAAGATGGATTGTTATGGCTTTTGAAGTCGTCCATATGGCAGATTGTCATACCTCCCAGCTACCAGCTGCCTTGGGCTCCCTTTTTCTCCCCCATCACAGGGATACCTATCAAATTTGTAAGCCACCTGAAGAACGTGCATGTAAAGGAGAAGGGCAAGGCACGGCTGGAGTGTGAGATGAGCTCCAAGGACGTGCACATCAAGTGGCTGAAGGATGGAAAGGACATCTCCAACAACCCCCGCTACAGCTTCATGCGCGAGGGCAAGCGGGCGGAGATCGTCATCGACGACTGCGACCTGGCGGACAGCGGCGAGTACGCCATCGTCTGCACGCAGGATAATGACGCCCAGGAGTACATCAGCTCCGCCAACCTCACTGTGGATGGTACGAAAATCAGTAGATTGTCCGCCAATGAACCAGTGGAATCTTACTTTAACAATACCTATCTCCTAGTTCTACCCAAAATATGCAATTTACAGTTAAAATACTGTCTCTGACAACCATAATAATGTGGTATTTTACTGAAGGATACAGTCACATTGTCCTACTTAGTCAATAACTCATGACACAATAACTCTGATCTGTGACCTCTACATCACTTTGCACCATGGAAGTTGCTGGACAACCTTAGAATCATACATTTCAATGAATGAATTTGATGAATGGATAATGGAATCGTTAATGGAATAATTATCATCGCTGATAATTTACATATTTATACATTATTCCATTGCACCCACATGAAGTTGTGCATTAATTTCCTTGCAGCCTTGTTAGCGAATCAGAATTCTGGAACTGTTTTGTCTTGCCTCTGGAGGTCCTCAAGAATTTCTCATCTACATGTGGAAGAATTGTATGTTTGAGAGTTGGCTTTCTGTGTTCTCAGAACGCTTTGCTACTGTCAAGAGTGGGATGTCTGACATCCAGTGTCCCACTGACTCCAGTTCAGAGCTGTGCGTGGTCCTGAATGATGAGAAAGTGGATGGGGTGTGGCTAAAAGATGGCAAGGAGGTACGTGAAGTTCAGTTTCATTGACTTATGCTTTGGCATACATCGCGACCCTGGTTGGTCGCATCGTGCTTTCAGCTTCGCCCGATCTGCAGGTGTCCGATATGAGTGGGATTCAAGTGGTCAAACAGGGTGCTGTGCACAAGCTGATCTTCAACAAGGTGGGCGAGGAACATGAAGGCAAGTATACCTTCAGGGCCAAAGGAGCGGAGAGTGAAGCTGTGCTGTCAATTGCAGGTGAAGTACCTCCCGACACACATCAGCAACATAGGTTAGGTTGCCATGACCACTTGATCCTTAATACAGCTTTCTTTACCCTTTACTTGTGTCCCTTAGACCCTCCAGCCATTGATCCCACCATGCTGGAGGTATTAGCCAGCAACCCTGTGACTGTGAAGGCCGGACAGACAGCGATCATCAAGATCCCTTTCAAGGGCAAGCCCGTTCCCAGAGTGACATGGTACAAGGATGGCATTGAGGTGACGGGGGATGCACGCATAACCCTAGAACGGGAGGCGGACTCCACCACGCTGGCGCTTGCCAAATGCGTGCGTGAGGACAGTGGCGCCATCATGCTGCGGCTTAAGAGCGACTGTGGAACCGCCATCGCTAACATGCACCTCAACGTCTTGGGTGAGTGGCCAACGTCCACACAGCCCAATGGTTGCATGACAAGCGGTGCAGCTCTTCACTTAGCATCCCAAAAACAATTTGTTCCAGTTTATTACTGTTAGTTGAGTAGTTAGCTTTCCAGATGCCCTACCCTACCCATCGTTGGGTAGCAGAGTAGGAAGTGATGTGTTGCTTATTTTGCCCCCACAGACCGCCCGAAGCCCCCCCAAGGTAAGGTGGAGTTCCTGGAGCGGACAGGAAGGTGCATCAAAATGAAGTGGAAGGCACCACGAGACAATGGGGGCAAGCAGGTGACCAGCTTCGTCATCGAGAGGTGTATGGCGGGGAAGAAGTCCTGGATCAAGGTGGGGGAGGTCGACCCCAGCACCACCTTCTTCAGCAACGACAAGGTGGAGGAGGGCAAAGCTTATCAGTACCGCATCCGGGCCGTCAACTCAGAGGGTGTGAGTGACCCGCTGGAGACGGAGGAGGTCTGCGCCGGGGAGCCCATTGGTGAGATACGTGTGATGCTATGAGGTTATGGGGCCAACAGAGAGGGATCCAGGCTGGATGGGTGCTAAACACTCTGCTAACAAGTTCTAGCATAACAGATATTCTTCCAGCTGTACTGCTTGATAAATGATGCAGATAGTAATTTCCTAAATCCAGGTCTCACAAAAATCTTATTTATTATTGTCTGAATCTGCACGGAGATCTTCAGGAAAGTTTTACAATATGATTAATTAAGATTAATATTAACTATATTGGTTCCGGGGGTGAAATTCTGCACAGTGTGATTCTAGTCAATACCCAATAATTCAAAGTCACTAACTGCTGGATTGTACTGTTGCCCCACCTTTGGACAGAGCCCCCAGGCACGACCTCTCAGCCTCAGATTACAGACGTGACCAAAGACACTGCCATGGTGACCTGGAGCCCACCTGCCCAGGATGGGGGCGCCCCTGTGCTGGGTTATATCATCGAGAGGAGAAAGAAAGGCAGTAATATGTGGGTCCCGGTCAGTAAGGAGCTCATCCAAGGTTTGTGTGCATTTGTTCAAGCTTCATTTCCCCTGGGAGCATGCTGTTCTTCATTATAGTTTTATACAGCAGCCAGGACCTTTGAAGCCTCAGCACCTAATATAGAATGCAGGCCTACACTTGTGTACTGAGGCGCAGGGCATTTCATTGCTGCATTTCTGGACAGTCTAAACAGCCATTTCATCGATTGTTCCTGTCTTCTACCATAAGACACCAAATACACAGTGGATGGGTTGGTGGAAGACATGGAGTACGAGTTCAGGGTAGTCAGCGTGAACAGAGCTGGTCCGGGCGTCCCCAGCAGCAGCTCCAACTCTGTGCTCGCAAAAGACCCTGTCCGTGAGTATCCAGGGGACAAAAACCCATCCATCCATCCATCCATCCTTTAAACCGCTTGTCCAGTATGGGGTTAAGGTAAATGTAATGAAACATAAAATCTCTCCTGAAGGGCACTCCAGCTATTCCATGTATATGTAAAATTTTACCCCGTGCTGAATTAATTAATGAATTTAATTAAATAACGCAATGAGGCATTGATTAGCCGAACAAGGTATGCTTGTGGTCGAGTTAGGAAATACAGACGCTCCTCTACTTACGAACAAGATACGTTCCGAACGGCCGTTCATGACTTGAAATGTTCGTAAGTCGTCATTCAACATCATTATAAGGGTATACGCAAGTACTAAGAACTAGGATGCTGGGAGTACGCACGCTACTCTGCTGCACGGCGGGAGTAGCGGGCAAAAGTCATACTATGCGCAGAAAAAAAAATTGATGTTGCGGACAGGAAACAGCAGTCCAATGAACACAATTTGGAGTTATAGTCCTCTTTGTTCTTATGTCTGAAAGTTCGTAAGTTGAAAGTTCGTAAGTAGAGGAGCATCTGTACATTGGTGTGTTAGATGGTTACTGCAAGTACAGAGGTAGCCTGAGGAGAGGTTTTGGCTAAGCTGACACACTTTGACAGGCATAATATAGTTTTACACCAACATGAAGATCATCTACATCTCATTTTCTTTGGCTGCCCAAGTCTTTTGCACAGTACTGTACTGTATATCCTTTGGTGATATTTTGGTTATATAATTGCTATTACAGATGTATTATTGAAATATAATATAATGTAATATAATGAGTTGATCATTCTCTGCAAAGGTGCTCCTGGCTTGGTAAAGGACTTGCATGTGACCGACTCGTCCAGTTCCTCCATCTCTCTGGGCTGGTGCCCCCCACAGCAAGGCGATGAGCCATCAGGCTACATCCTGGAGATGCGCCTTGATGACGCCAAGGACTGGTCAAAGTGCACCAAGATCCCCATCGCTGGCACCAGCTACACAGTGGGAGGCCTGCAGGACCGCATGAAGTACTTCTTCCGTATCCGCGCCGTTAACGAAGGCGGCGTCGGGGAGCCCGTCGCGCTCGAGCAGGGGGCACTGGCCATGCCGCCCCCTGGTGAGCATAGACTGGGGATAGCAGGCCCACTTTCAGATGCAGTGACGTGAGACCTGGTAGCATCATAACCCTCCAGAGCCTGATAGTTTGCATGTGCTGCCTATGGTGTAGGATCTCTAAACTACTGGTAATGTATGAGTGTATGTGTGTGTGTGTGTGTGTGTGTGTCTGTCTGTCTGCGGATTATGCTTATAGTACTTTGTGGGGACCAAATGTCCCCCACAATGTAATAAAGCCCTGTTATTTTGATGTTGTGGGAACCATTTTTCAGATCCCCACAAAGATCTGCGAATGCAATCAAAAAAGTTAAAATGCCAAAAGTCTCATATTTTGTTTGGTTACACTTATGGTTAAGGTTAGGGCTGGGTAGGGGTTAAGGTTAGGGCTGGGTAGGGGTTAAGGTTAGGGCTGGGTAGGGGTTAAGGTTAGGGCTGGGTGGGGGTTAAGGTTAGGGCTGGGTGGGGGTTAGGGTTAGGGCTGGGTGGGGGTTAAGGTTGTCATTGTTGGATCAGGGTTTTTCCCATTTGAATGAATCCATGGATTGTGTGTGTGTGTGTGTGTGTGTGTGTGTAATCCTGTGATGGACAATGTAGCGCACAGGACTAGGGTACACCCTGGACGGGAAGCCACTCCATCACAGGGCACATATAAACTCATACACATGTACTCTGTGAGCAATTCGGCTTCATAACCTGACTGCATAACCATGGATTGTACGGAGAAAAACTGTGCAACACAGCAAGAACATGCAAATCACACGCACACAGAACAGACGAGGTGAAAAAAGAAATAGCATGTTTCTACTCTAACCCTTATCTACATTTTTAAATGTTTTAAGTTACAGTCATAAAAACTGTTTTATAATGATAAACCGATTCTAAAACTACCTGGTGAACCAATGAATAGTATTACAAGACAAGGTTAGGATATACCAGACTTATCCAGTCATGTGAGCAGACATTTTATTGTTGCAGATACATGCTTTACCTGTATTTTCCGTGTCCTTCCCCTCCAGCACCCCCTAGGTTTGACCTCCGTGGAAAAGTGAACAACCAGCTGCTGGTGCGCGCTGGGACAGCTCTGTGCATCCATGTCACTTTCACGGTGAGCCTGACCGTCATGTACCATTCACACGCACCCCCACCTCCCACATGGTGCTTTGCAGTTCCTGCCGTAGATACAGCTGTGTGTGGAAGACACCAGTGCAGCTACACAGAAGTAGTAACGTGGGCAATGTGTAAATTACCATAAAACAAAATCTGTATGTTATAAAAGGTATCTTCCAACCACAGCTCTTGGATGGGGTGTCACACAGGCAACATTAGGACATAAGGCTGGGAAACACCGTGGATGAAGTGCCAGTGCATTGCAGGGCACAGACACACACACAGGACACTGCCCGTCACCTAGCGGCATGCCTTTGGGCTGTGGGAAGAGACCCACACAAGCCAAGGAGAACCACAGCAAGAGGAGGATTCAAATTCCCGGCCCCTAGCCCAGGGGGGTACTCCACGAAGCAGGATTTCTTGCTTAACTAGATTACTTGTCAGATTTAAGGTAGTCTGAGCTAAATGTACAGTATGTGAATGAAAATAAAGTCAATTTAGCTCGCACTACCTTAAAATCCGGCCAAGCGAGAAATCCTGTCCTGTGGAGCACCCCCTGGACGTGTGAGGTGAATGTGCTGCTCCGCGCGTCACGCCTGTCTCCAGTCACGACTCCCATGCAGGTTACACCCCTCATTGACTGAATGTTGAGCACACCTGCGGCATATACCTTGATTACGCCAAGGGAGGTATGAGCACCTTCTCTGAATTACACTCCATAAAAGGTGTTGAACCTGCTCTTTTCTAAACCTTTGGCTCTCAGCTCTTCCGACTTACTTGGACTGGTTTCTAAATTTTAGCCTGTTTTCGTACCCTCTGTACTAAACATGATTTGGATCTGGTATGGGAAGACACCAGTGCAGCCCTTCACTGGATTCTGAACTTGGCTTGTGTTTTGACCATAATTTTGTTTTGATGACTGTAGTGATGGCAAAAATCACGCTTCATGAACCATTTGCTGTATTTTTTGACCCCACTAGATGGTGCTCTCCATTCAGAAAAAGGGCACAAAGCAAACCAAGACCATCATCTAGTGCGATCAAAAAATACAGCAAATGGTTTACAGAGTCTCATTTTGTCCTCACTAGGTACCGGCCATTCCATGTTGTGCATAATCAAACCTCCTAGCTCTGTGGTTGGATCTCCGAACCCTTTCATTATGCATTGAGCCTCTATGTCACCTCATATTCATCTGAACCACTTCAATATAATATTCAGATATATAAATGGGCCAGATTATAGGTCATTTGCATAATAGCACAAGGTAGGTAATGAAAGAGTAATTTGGGCTGAGGGATCAATATTTCTGTACCCACCCCCACCCCCAGGGGTCTCCTCCCCCAGTGGTGACCTGGCTGAAGAACGGCATCCCCACCACCGGCAGAGAGACCATCATCAAAGGGAAGGAGCATTCCCAGTTCCTCATCAGCTCGTCCCAGCGCTCCGACTCCGGGATGTACCGCATCGGCCTCCGCAACGACTATGGAGAGGTTCACTACGACGTCAGCGTTCAGGTCACAGGCAAGCCCAGGCACACCCGACCAGGAGCCAGGTTCTACTTAGGACCATCAACGTTTGCACTGAGAGGCCCATTTCACAAACAATTGTTGCCGTTACAGTAATCATGTATCACACGAGCTTAAAAACAGGAAATAACCAGCAATCGCGGGTATAGCAGGTTCACACCAGTTCAAATAATATACAGGCAGTCCTCAGGTTGCAAACAAGATCCCTTCCCTAAGTTTGTCTACAAGTCTAATTTGTTGCTAAAAAAAAAAACACAGTACATAATAATAATAATAATAATAATTATTATTATTATTATTATTATTATTATTATTATATAGTAATAATGAAAGTAACTTAATATGGTACTGTACTGTACCTCGAGTTGACGAACCGCTGAAGCAGCGTAATTGTTTCATGAGTGCCATTGTATTTAAGTCAAATTTTTTGTAGAATAGGCTTTTTAGCAATCCATTTGTACGTATGATTTGTCCATAAGTCGGATGTTCTTAACCCGGGGGCTGTCTGTATAATCTGTACCACTACTGCCATCCCTGTACTCTGAGACTCTGTCTCACCCCCAGACGTCCCGCGCCCCCCCATGAACCTGCGTCCCGTGGAGGAGGTTCCCGGCGTGGTGACGCTGCACTGGGATCACACGCCTGACCTGGCAGACGACGAGCACACCCACTACATCGTCCTGAAACGGGACAGCAGCACGGCCACTTGGTTCACAGCCACTGAGCGTGTCTTCAGCAGCAAGTACACCATCGGCGGCCTGCTGCCCGGCCGCAAGTACTACTTCCGGGTCATCGCCCGCAACCACGTCGGGGACAGTGACCCCTTGGATTCCAAGGAGCCCTTCAGCATTGCTAAGGAGAAAGGTGCATAGGGAGCAGGGGTGAAGGGTGGGTCCTCAGGGGAGCCTGGCCACAAAGTCCCTGAACTTTTCTAGCCCCTTTATGAGATTTCTATATGGACTGTATGGACAAAAGTATTGGGACACCTGGCCATTATAAATAGAGGAATTTTTCAATATGGAGTTGGTCCCCCATTTGCAGCTATAGCAATTGCAACTGGGGGCTCTCTTCTCTGCACCTCTCTACTGGGAAAGTTTTCCACAAGATTTTGCAGTGGGTCTGTGGGAAATTTTGCCCTTTCATCCAGAAGAGCATTTGTGAGGTCAGGCACTGATGTTGGATGTGGAGGCCTGGCTCACAATTTCCATTCTAGTTCATCCCAAAGGTGTTTGATGGGGTTAAGGTCAGCAGGCCAGTCAAGTTCTTCCACACCAAACTCACCCAACCATGTCTTTATGGACCTTGCTTTGTGCACTGGGGCACCGTCATGCTGGAACAGAAAAGGGCCTTCCCACAAACTGTTACCGCAAAGTTTGAATTGAATTGTCCAAAATGTCTTTGTGTGGTATTGGGATGAACTAGAATGGATATGATGTGTATTTGCCATTACTACTTCT